TCGTGAGGTCGATAGGTCCACAGTGCCGACAGAACACCGGACTAGAAGTTATCCATCCTGAGCAGGGTGACTCAGCACTTCTTACATGCTGTGTGAGTGTCGGTATAGACAGTGTTAATCCGGAGTGACACCCCTTCCTCCTCCTCCTCCTCCTCCGTCCATATACACAGCACTGGGTCCTCTGCTCTCCATCTGACACCTCGGAGCACACTCTCTGCCGCGGACATGGCGCAGAGCTTTGTGGACGCTAAGCTGAGAGCCGGCAAAGTCACTGTGTTTGAGAAGGAGTCGTGTCCCTTCTGTGTCCGAGCAAAGACCATCATCCACAAGTACAAGTTCAAGAAAGATCGCCTGGAAATCATCAACATCGCCAATATGGAGAACGTGAGCAGCATCCAGGATTACCTGTGTCAGCTGAGCGGAGAGAGGACGGTGAGTACATACCGGACAGAGCACCGGGACTGGATCCAGATTACACCTTACAATCAATGTTACTGTCACCATACACTTTACAATCTTTCAGCTTTAGATTTACCAAAACGATGTGATATGTGGCCGTGCCTTAACCATCTGATCAGACCGAAACGTGTGCTACATAGTTGTTGATAGATCTGCAGGAGATTGTATGGTAAAGGTGGCCATACACTCTACAACCATCGCAAGACCTTAGTCTTGCGATGGTTGTAAAGGGATTAAAAAAACGTACGATCTGCCTATCTTGGACAGGCAGATCGCACTCTCGATCATCGCAAGCCCGCCCCCCTGAGGGGCGGGCTTCCGATGACCGCAATGCTGAACGGGCAGTGTGCGCGTGCGCACACCGGCCCGTTCAGCATTTATCTTCCGAGCACCGTTCTAACCAGCCGAGAATCGTACGATTCCCGGCTGGTTTTGGAACATGCTGGTTCGACAGAAGACGTGCGACCGTACAGTAGAAACGGTCGAACGTCTCCGTTCACACTGCTCGATTCTCGTACGAAAACCCGATCGCATACGATTATCGTACGATAATCGTGCAGTGTATGGGCACCTTTAGGCTGGCCATACACTAGTAGTTTTTTTTCTCGTTCAGCGTGGATGGGGGAATCCTATAGTAACCTGACAGCAGTAGGTGTGCAGCTATCAGAATACCTGAACAGTGACTGCAGCTGATTGGCTGAGCTTTTTCCATTGGCTTCTCAATGGGGAAAAAAAAAAAATCAGCATTTGTTGAAGGATTGCTCAGATTTCAGGTGAGTCAGCTTTTCATGCAATGTGTGGCCAGAAATGGTACCGTGTATGGTGAGCTGTAGATCCGGCTGCTGTCTTTCCTTCATGTGTATATCCAATGATCAGGACATCATCGGGGGCCATACAATGGAACATTTGTGACACTCTTCCGGTGTTATGGCCGCATTAGAAATCCCCGTGTGTCATGTTTACATTCTGCCTCCGTGGCTGTGACAAATTCATTGAAGAAACGCTGCCATATCGGTGACCAGTAAACGAGGTAAATAATGCTTCTTCCATGCTGGAGTAAATATAAGTATTGGTCTGAGACAATCCTGCAACGGATCTGCGTACACCTTACCGACTGTCACATGAATCGGGCACAGATTGCGCCATTTGTTGTACAGATGGGAGACAGATTTCTGATGAGTGTCTAGGAATTCCAGGGAATGTCACTAGGATACAACATGCAATCTAGCCTTGTACATAGACAGTGTATAGATGTCAGGACGCTGAGGAACATTCCAATGCTGCAGGGACGGGGAGACAGGCACGAGGGAGCACTTCGGTGAGTATCACTTTGTTATTATTGAACCTAGACAAAAACGAGCACTTGATCCTTGCAGTACTGGGGGGGTAGCCCCACTGCGAGGGTTACAATGTTTTCCTGGAGTTCTTCTGTAAAGGGGTAGGCTGATATGCAGCCAAGACATCTAAATGGTCCACTATGGAATGAATATTGAACTCCTGTATTGTTTTATTATACTTCTACAAGGTGCTGCGTGTCTGCTACGCCCAGTCCAGAACATGCACATTGCTGGAGACAAACCCGGTTCCCCAGCGCCCACTCAAAACTCTGACCGCCACTCCTGGCCCAATCAATGGCAGCAAGGGCATTCCCTGCCCTTTTGTGATGTATAGCTCCAGGGGGCGGGGGAAATGCGCGATGCGCCTCCCCACAACTGATTGGGCCAGGAGGGCAGTCATAGCTTTGAGTGGGTTTAGACTAACTCGGGCCAACTGGGTTCATATGAAGCCCAGGCTCATCATTGGTTCAAGCAATCATTCATTATGGAACGTTCCCATAGACTTTACATTGTACCCACAGTTTTCTCATAGCAACAAACACAATTTTTAAAGATCCTCAGCTGGCTTCAGTTGACACTTTAAGGCAGGGGTAGCCAAACTCCGGTCCTCCACTTGTGGTGAAACTACAAGTCCCATGATGTATCTCTCTATGGGAGTCATGTCTGTGGCTGTGAGAATCTTGCAATGCCTCCATGGGATTTGTAGTTCCACCACAGCTGGAGGGCCGGAGTTTGGCTACCCCTGCTTTAAGGGGTCTATTTATAAACTGTCCCCACAGCGAACAGCTCTGTGAACACAATTTGCAGCACATTGTGGCCACTAGATGGAGCCGAGGAACATAAGAATTTCCCTGTGCTCCTCAGCTCCATCTAGTGGCCATATTGTGCAGTAACGCTCATTCACAGAGCTGTTCGCTGTTAGAATGATTTATAAATGTTAGAACACGATAAAGGTGATGAATATTATTTGCGCAGTTAAAGTGACACTATACTCAGGAGTTAAATCTTAAAAATGTATTCAAGTACCATAACTCTTAACAAAAATGTATCCTATTTGTGTATCACTCGGCTGCAGATCATCAAATCATCTCTGAATTGGTGCGGGCACTGTCCTTACTTCTGGAGGGTGGCTACATTTATTCCCCATGGCCCCTGTGTGTTATAAAGTAGCCACCGCTCCAAGCTCGCTCCCGTGATAGACTACAATCATGGAACAAATTAGTAAACTAAACATAAGATTATAGTCCATCACAGGAGTGAGCTTGGAGTGGTGACTACTCTACAACACACACACAGGGACTATGGGGAACAAAAGTAGCCACCCTCCAGAAGGAAGGACAGTGTCCGCATGACTTCAGAGATGATTTGAAGCCGAGTAATACACAACTAAAATACATTTTTGATAGTAGTTAAGAGCCTGGGTCGCTATGGCATGTCAGGCTGCTGGCTTTCCCCAAGATCTGTATTGAGAAACTACCCTGTAAACTTCTGCATACCATCGTTGTCATGCAGAGCTGGAGCTGCCAGTAGAATCTTCAGCATCCCACACTTCCAGATTTTTTCACTTGTGTGTCCCTGCAGCTCTGAAGGGAAATGAATACAAATATGGAATAGGTATTCTAAATGTATTCTACAGTGTTGTACTGAGTTATTCTTTTGTATCTCAGTGACAGGGTCTCCATTGCAAGCATAAAAATAAATACATGACTCAGCGCCAGGCAAGTACATGCAGAGCTGTGTACGCAATGAGTTCGGTGGAAAGGTCAGCCGGCTAGTTGTGAAACGTTCATACATTTCCTCTTTCTGAGCAGAGGCAAAAGCTGAGTGCTATTTACACCCCTCACCTGCGATAACTTGTGTACCCCTGTATTGCAGACAGAGTGCACCGAGTACACGTGGTGGCGGTATCCTTTATCATGGCCACATTCATTACCAGTTCATACCACTAAGCATATAATGTAAACTGCACAGTGCATTCCGGCCCAATCGGGCCGGAACGCACTGTGTCTGGTGTAAACGAGCCCTAAAAGTGATTAAAGTCTACATTTTGTTTTACTATTTCTACTGGAGATGTGAGCACTTACCTTCTGTGCCACTTCCCAATGTGCAGACGTCCTTCTTTCCTCCTGAATAATGTGGAAACCACAGGTCTGGCCTCCCTTTCCTATGTAAGGCTGGGCACACACCTTACAACCATCGCAAGACTTTTATCTTGCGATGGTTGTAAGGTACTTAAAAAAACGTACGATCTGCCTATGTTGCATAGGCAGATCGTACTTGCGATGATCGCAAGCCACGCCCCCTGAGGGGCGGGCTTCCGATGACCGCAATGCCGAACGGGCAGTGTGCACTTGCGCACACCGGCCCGTACGGCTTTTATCGTACGAACATGCTACAGACCCGCCGAACATCGTACGATGCTTGGCGGGTTTCCGAACATGTCCGTAAGTTCAAAGTCGTGCGACCTTACAGTAGTAGAGGTTGCACGGCTTCCACACACCTTACGATAATCGTACGATCGCGGGATTTCCCACGATTATCGTAAGGTGTGTGGGGACCTTAAGGGTGGCTCCTTCCTAATGGCTGTCCTCAATCTCAATACAAATTCGCAAACATGAGATTGTAGTCTATCACAGGAGTGAGCTTGGAGTGGTGGCTAATTTACAACACACACAGGGACCATGGGGAACAAAAGTAGCCCCCCTCCAGAGGGAAGGATGGTGTCAGCACCAATTCAGAGATGATTTGAGTGATACACAAATAAGATACATTTTTGTTAATAATTAAGGTCCTTGAATGTATTTTTAAGATTTTTAGTTTAGTGTCACTTTAAGTCTGTGGATGACAGTGCTGCAGATAAGTATCAGAGATAAATCTGTGTGTGTGTTTTAATTTCAAGTCTGGATTCACACTTTTCTGTGTGGTAATGCACTTGCGAAGGTGTGACTGGACCCTTCCACACTAATGTACATCGCATAGATGTGAACCAACCACATAGGAAATAATAATGACATTTCCACTTGTAATGGATCGTGCAAAAGCCTTGCTGCATAAAAAAAGTGTGAGGAGTCCCTAAAAGCGCCAAAGCAGCACGAGTTCAACGATGATGTATATCGGTAAACTGGTATAGCAGCTTGTCGTACACTTATGACTTTTGTGTTCCTGTGGAGCGTCTATAATCACCGCTGTAACCCTGAGCTACCCAGTGCAGTTCATTTACTGAGAAACCAGCACACAATGCCTCTCCAGACACTGGGAGCGATGCCTGGAATCTCTGCTGCCAGGAAACGTCTGCCGTCCCAGGGTGCTCATCCAGAAGAAAATGATGAGTAAGATGCATATTTGTTTTTGCACTTAAAAAGAATTGTTGCAAAGAAATGCAGTTGTAGCAGATCGAGGAGCCAATTTGGGTCCGAGCCCATTTCCTGGAACTGTAAGGCTCTCCTCCAACTTTTACATTAGACGTGTGCGAGCTCTAAGGATCCCCCATTATATTCCTGTGATTGGGGGGTTGTGCTGTTTACTATGTTACCTGAGCGGACATGATTGCCTCTATAGAAGTAGAGCATATGACGGCTTCCCTGGGGCTGGGGGAAAGAACAATGAGGCACTATAGAGAGCTGGCTGCACTTTGGTAACATAATAATGTATTCTTAGATGGAACTAGTAATCTGCTCTGCTATACACTCGTACTGCATGGGGAATGCTCATTCTTCTCACCACTTGTATGTCTGAGTCTCAGGCGGGGAGAATGTCACAGGTGAATCTTATTAGCTCAGTATAGGAAATTAATGTTTAACATTCACACATCATTTATATCCCAGATCACACCCCGCCAAGAATAACACAAATGGCTTAATTTTCCTTTCCCCCAGACCTCCGGCTTTTCTCAGGAAGTCAGACCCCTTTAGTATTACTCATTGGATAAATATTCTTAAAGCCCAACTACAGCCAAAAGCTTTTCTGTTTTAGAGGAAGCTGGGAAAATGTATAGTAGTATTACACTCTCAATTCTTTTTTTTCAATAATGAATCCAGATTAAATAAATATACATGGCCCAGCAAAGTATTTCGTTACATGTTTGCCCAAACACTTAGTCATCATGTTTCCAAACGGCTCCAACTCTCTCAGCTCTGCTTACCTGAACCCGCTGTCTAGTACAAGATCACAAGGGACAGAGCAGTCTCCAGCAGCTGTCCATCTACTAGCTTGAAGAAGGGAGGAGACAGGAACGGGGGTGTGTGTGGGGGTTGGTGGCTTAGCTCACTGTGCCTGTGTGTTTGTGGGGACACACACGACTCACTAGCACACACAAGGGTGGCTCCATAGGGCCCTGGTAAAAAGGAGCCACCCTCCAGATGTCCTCAGTCTTATAGCCATTCCTCCCGTTTGCTCTGAGCCCAGGCAGTCATATGCACACCCCAACCTGTGATTCGGCAGTGTAAGGGGAAGCAGCAGTCAGTGATAGCTCATCTCTCTACCACTCTGCTTTCTCCTATCAACATGCTTCAGGTGAGCACATAAACTGTTTGGCATCTTGTACTGCTTCTTACTTTTACACTACAGCCCTGCTGTACAGGGGCTGCATGAGGCTGATGGCAGGCCAAGTTCACGTACTTATGCACCTTGTATTTAAAGAAATGCATTTAATGGTGTATGATTGAATATGGGAAATGTAGACTTTTTTTTTTTACACTACAAACCAACAAATGCCTTGTTTTCTTTACTTTTCAGGTACCTCGAATATTTATTGAGAAGGAATGCATTGGTGGTTGTTCTGATCTCGTACCTCTGGACAGCAGTGGCGAGCTGGAGAAAAGGCTGATAGGTATTGGAGCCCTAGAACAGTGATCTGTAAGTATGACCGCCTGGGGCCACATCTAAGACATGGTAGCTGTGGCCTAGTATAGAAGAGTATACAATGATATTGTTTCTTCATTCACCCTGCAGGCTAACAAAGAATATTATAACAGATTCTTCTTTCCATGCTAAGCGGCAGGAATCCCTCGCTGTTTATATTGTACTCTGACAGCGGCCAGTAGCTGATTGGCTGCAAGCACTGTGTGGCCGAAGATTTTCCAGCATGTTCCTTCAGCAAAACAGATCTAATGATCGACTTCTGCCCAGGGAATAGGTTCACAGACGGAGTGAATTTTGGCCAAGGGGGAGACCGGATGGATGTGGCACTTGGGTGAATATAACTTTGTTATATTTGCACCTACACAGAAATGCGCACTTAACCTTTGCAGTGCTGGGGTAGCCTCACTGCAAGGGTTAAGAACATTTTTAAGGTGCTCAAGTAGTTAAAAGGGGAACTGAAGTCTGGAGAAAAAAAAGTAGAGCAAAGGACTAGTCACCAATATTGCCTGTGGTCTCCCTGCAGCTGATCTTTCCTAATTACGGACTTACCATGCCTTATTCTCTGTAGGGAGGCCGCCATCTTGGTAGAGGCAGGGCTATGCTTCCTCATGTCAGAGCCTCCAACAAGGAGAACAGTGAGCAGCACAATAGCGGCATCACCAAATCTCACTCCAGATCTCCTGAGACCAGCAGTCAATGTCAGCAGTGCCTGTGCCCGGGAGTGAAACATTTTCTCCCGGAAAGGTTTACTCTGCTTGATCGAGCAGAGCAAACCTTTCCTTGCTGTTTTTTTTTTCTGTCATCGGAGCCGCTGGCAGTCAGAAAAAAAAACAGCATAGGAATAATAGCTAGATTGCTATTGGTTATTTTACTTTGCAATAGCAAACTAGCTATTATACCCGCCCACTGCTGCTGTCAATCAGCAGAGGGGGACCTGAAGTTTTCCATCAGGTCCTCTTATAGTGATTGACAGCAGCAGAGGGCGGGTGCAATAGCTAGTTTGCTATTGCAAAGTAAAATAGCCAATAGCAATCTAGCTATTGATTCCTATGCTGTTTTTTGTTTTTGTATTCTGACGGCAGCAGCTGCAGATAGCACAGGAAGCAATAGCTTCTTTGCTATCTGCCATCATTTCAGGGGGGTGCTCTCCCCCCGCGCTTCCTTCAGGTTGGAATCCCTGTGATGGCGATGTTCTATCAAAGTTTGTGACTATGTTAGAATGTGTGACCGGTAACGCGGTCACACGTTTTAATGTAATCCCGCCCAGTTATTTGGCGGTGGAATGTGTGACCGCCAATAGGTCAAGCATTCCAACGCTTTCTCAGCTGTTCCAGGGCAGATCGGCATCACAAATTGTATGTTCAGAAGACTTGATCTGGAACAGCTGATCAGTCCTGAAATGTCACTTCTATCTGACTTTGAGTACTGTGGAATTTGAGATCGCAGTCACAAAGTCGGAATAGAAGTGACATTTCAGGACCGATCAGCTGTTCCAGGGCAGATAAGGTCTTCTGAACATACGATTTGCGATGCCGATCTGCCCTGGAACAGCTGAGAAAGCGTTGGAATGCTTGACCTATTGGCGGTCACACATTCCACCGCCAAAATACTGGGCGGGATTACGTTAAAATGTGTGACCACGCGACCGGTCACACATTCTAACGTAGTCCCAAACTTTGATAGAACAGAGGCACTGTATGTATTCATTTAATCAGAGAAATAGATTATAATAGGGAATGTTCCCCATTATAATCCACTTGTCTAATTTAAATGAAATAAAAGCACACAACCCTCGCTCTTCAAAGGGATCAGGGATTCCCATCGCATGCAGAAAATAACAGAGCGCCGCTTCCATGTGTAACATTCCTTTATTAGGTATACATACTCACAAGAATTGAGTTACAGAACGAACGTCTTAATCTACCACACTGTCGGTCAAGGGAAGTATTCTGCCCTGACTAGATAACACAGCAGTCACATCAAAGATTCCCCGGCTGCTGTAAGCTTGGTTTACGCATTTCAGGGGCGCGCCCCCTTCCTCGGAACCATGGGTACGATGTTCTGTAACTCAGTTCTTGTGAGTATGTATACCTGGTTTTATTTACCTAATAAATGCGTTTTACACTTGGATGCGGCACTCTGTTTTATGTATTGCAAACCACGAATGCTTGTTTTTATGCAAAGGTCTGCTAGAAATACAGTATGTGGGGGTCTATAGCGGTGTGCAGAGGGTTCATTAAGAATGTGTGTGTTGTAATACGTACCTATCCTTATCCTGCAGGAAATCTGAATCTGTAATCACAGTATGACAATGAAAGGCAATTTCTTGTATTGTGGTTACACTGCGTTCCGTTGCTGTTTGGTTATGCTATCATGTATGAAATATACACAACAGGAGATCAGAACCTGTGTGTGAACAAGCAGTTCCTGTGAAATCTGATTAATAATGCTGGCTGTGTGATGCGGCTAAACCATTCACAGACCGTTTTATCATGTGTACCTAGGCAGAGAGTCACAGACACATTCACACTAATGGAGATTTTTTTTATCTGCTTTTATAGTGCTGAGCACATTCACTCGCTAGGCTAGCAGGTCTTCTAAGGCATCGTAAATTTCCTAGCGTATCACAGACACCTGAGAGGATGACTGAAGGGAAGGCAGTTTTAAGGTGGCTATACACTTCAAAGAACAACTACTGGAAAACATTTTGGTAAGCCTTGCAGTGGTGCTACCCCTGCACTGCAAGTGTTGACTGCTTGTTTTTGTCTAGGGACTAAAATAAAAAAGTTATACTCACCCGAACCTCTGAGATGGCGGATTGTCACAGTGCCCCCTCCAGCCTGTCTCCTCCGCCCAGCCATGGTATGTCCCTCAGTGTCCTCCCATCCTATACGTGTATAGTGGTATACCAATGTGTCCCACTGCACTCCTTACAGCATTATGAACCAGTAGCAATGGTGGTGCTTGGAATGATCATCACAGATGGCGCCGTGCAGATCAGTCAGTAGAAAACGAAGATCACCATCACTTGGCCTGATGAAGGGACCCTGCGTGGCCCCCAGAAACGCTGGCTATGTGATATCTGTGACGATGTGTTTGATTAAATGAACATCATTCTCTGAGTGCTGGTGATCTTTGTTTTCTACTGTACGTGTATAGAATGTGATGACTCGGGGACCTTCGACTGCTGCAGCAGAGGAGGAGAGACACTGGAAGGACCGGTCTAACAAGCCGGCTTGGCGTTTCAGGTGAGAATAACCTTTTTTTTTATTTCGGTCCCTAGATGGAAATGAGCAGTTAACCTTTGCAATGCTGAGGTAGCCCCACTGCAAGGGTTAATAACAACATTTTCCAGGAGTTCTTCTTTAAGGTTTTTCTCTTTCAGCTCATGGTGCAAAAATCACTTCCTTCCCCATCCACCCTAAAGAGCGTGGATAGAAGAATCTCCCGTGCCGGCTGTCAGAATACCCCCAACAGAGACTGCAGCAAATGCTGTTCAATTTTTCACCCGGGGTCCTTCATCAATAGTTGGTTGAAAAATTGACTTTGGTGGAGTCGGGGGTTTCGGCAGGGACACCCACCGATGGAATCCGGTCTGTTCAGCAGGAAATGTAATTCAATCAGCGTCTGGCCAGCTGTATGTCTTGACATTTCAACATATGGGAAGGAGGGGACAGTTTCCCAACTTTACAGTATCCTGCAGGAGGATTTCGCAATGGCCAGATTGCCTGGAAAGCCCCCTTTAACCACTTCAGTACCGAATGTTAAACCCCCTTCATTACCAGGTCATTTTTCAGTGCTGTGAAAAGTTTGGCTGATAATTGCTCTGTCACATAACACGGTAACCGAACAATCCAACAACGAATACGTTATTGATTTTGATATCTTTAGAGCAGAATTCCAGCCAAAACTAACAAGAAAAAACGAATGGCCCATTTAAAAGCTGATAAACTGCCTGTGCTGCAATATTCAGCTCCAGCCCTGAGATTTTCAATGTAGTACTTTTTTCCTGCTGATGTCTGATGGGAAAACATCATTCAATCCACTTCCTGAGCACAGCCCCGGCCTAGCTCCAGCCTGTGACTGAGCAGTGACTGACAGAAGAACAAGCACAGTGATGGGCTCATCTCTCTGCTTTCTCTTCCTATCGGAATGCTCCTTGTCAGCACATTAACTATTTGCCTCCATGTGCTGCTTCTTCCTCTAACATGCCAGCTCTGTTACGCAGGGACTGCTACCAAGACAGAGTCAAGTGCTTACACTGCCAGCATTTAAATAATAGATATAATGAAGTATTTATAAATAGAGAGCTGCATTAACGTAGATGGAAAGGCAATGCATACCAAAGGTCCCAGATGGTCCTCCTATCATTTAATTCTCTGTATTGTTTGTTTAATATTAATACCCATTCCAGTACCCTTTTTTTAAGGACCCGCCTTCCTGCTTAGTCGAGAAGCCGGCTCCATGTTTGGCTGGGATTTCAGCTCCCTGGCCAATCAGCATCAAGCCGGCCAAACAGCATGGAAGCCGGCTTCCCAGGCAATCAAGAAGCCGGGCAGCGGGTAATGACATGCTACCCACCTTCCTGATTGCCCCTCAAGCCGGCTCCATGCTACTGGCGAGTACCGAAATATAACTATCAGTACTTGTACTCGATACTGAAAAAACTGGTATCGGTGCATCCCTATTTTTATTGCTACCAACTACGACCGCTACTCCTGTCTCAAGTCTCTGCACAGTAGCAGAAGGTGGAGCTTTTTTTGCTGACTGACTATACCTCATCCTCCATTTCTCTAGTTTTCTCTGACCGCTACAGAAAGACAATGTGAGGGAGGGAGCTCCGTGCAGTGCCGGAGCTCGGTGCAAAGGAAGGAATTGGCCGAAGCACACAGGGCTTCTGCATATCGAATTATCATTATACATGATTTATACGTATAGCACCAACATGGCTTTAGAAAATGGAGGGAGTACAGTTCTGAAACAATACTAGAGGGTTAGGAGACCTTCAATCAAATAATCTAATTAAAAGGCTCAGCTTCTGGGTACTGGCAGCAAGGCAGCTGAATAGCATTGTAGGTAGTGCCCAAGAAATGGTGCAAACAATAGGGGAAGGGCAGGATCAACAAGTGATATCTTTAGTGAACATTGGAGTAAAAACGGATGCTGCACATCAATCTGCATATGAGTGGATGTTTGCCAACCTGGGATAAACCTAGATAAACCTATTGGTGTATGGCCAGCCGAAAGTACTGACCTATAAACATTAATGGTCCTGTGATAAGAAGTTTAAGATTTGGGCCACACTAGCTTGAAGGGGATTCAAATCCTTTTCCAAGCACCAATTATCCTAAAATTTCCAGGCTGATCTGTAACACGATCTGGTACCTGGAGCCCAAGCCTCTGACAAGATGTTTTTAGCTGAGTTTGAAAGTTCCTGATCACATGACCATTAACCGGAAATCAAAGAAGCCATCAGAGTCAACTGCCCTCTTATCACTAGTGGATGAGGGTTTCCTTCCGGATCGAATAACCCTGCTGGCCAGAATTGGAGGAAGGCATCCTATGCAGACGCTTCTGGAGCCGGTCTCCATCTGAAAAAGGTTGGAAGCTGCCGATTGAGGCGTGTGGCAAAGATTTCTGTAGCGACCCACATAAATCCCCTCCAGTAATTCTAGACAATTAATGAGAGGACAATAAGCTGACAATACGTGCTAGCATCCTGATCGAAACCAGATGTTTCCTGGGTATTTGATCTCCTTCTTGACAAGTGTGATCTTTCTTTGTGGCAGATTCAGGTGGTTACCTGGCATTTCACCAGAAATTCTCACTCTTGAACTGGAGTGAGGATGGATTTATCCTTGTTTACGACTAAACCAAGATCGGTAAGAAGGGACAATGTCCATCTCAAATGTACTTGAATGGTAACCAGTTCCTGTGCCATATTAAGGATATCATCCAAATAAATGATGAGACAGACTTCTCTTCTTCAGAGAAGAGAAACGACAGGTTTCAACAGTTTGGAAAAAACACAGTGGCGCTGATGCCAGACCAAAAGGAAGGCAAGTAAATTGCCATTGGTGGCCTTTCAAACGGGATTTAAAGTGACCTTAAACCCTCAGATTTTTAACATAAAACAATACTGTAATGTGTGCCTTACTGTAATCCATGGTTGTTTCCCTTCTCTTTGCTGCTCTTCCTTTTTAAATCTGTATCTGTTCTCATGCTGGGCAGAACTTCTGTTTTGCAGCAGACTGCCTTGTCTCAGGAATGGATACACGGTGTCTGTGTATAGGTTTGTATAGGCTTGTAACCTGAGCCAGCACTACAGGAAGCGGCCCTGAGCTGAAAAGGGAAGTTCTCCCCAAGCATGAGAAGACATGAGAATTTAAAAGGAAGAGCAGCAAAGAGAAGGGAAGCAACCATGGATTACAGTAAGGCACACATTACAGTATTGGTTTATGTTAAAAAATCTGAGGGTTTAATGTCACTTTAAGGAACATCTGATGTGTTAAATTAATGGGCCCAGTTAAGTTAGATCTATCTTACAAATCAATCGTTTATGATCAACAGGTCTTTCAGGTAATGAACGCCTTCAATCTTGAAATGTTGGCGTAGTACACATTTGTTCAAGGGTTTCAAATTGATGGGACGGTAACCTGCATCTTTTTTTTTTTTTTTACCAGAAATAGATTGCGGATAAACCCCGGAGTGTCCCATGGAACCTCTATGATAGCTCCTTCTTGCAAAAGATTTGTAATTTCTGTCTCTATTAAAAACTGACTCTGAGTGTTGAAAGTCATGGTGCATGGATATTGATTTAATCCGGGAGGAGAATTAAACTCTATTTTGTAACCGCTTACAGTTCCCAAATGTAAAATCTGCCCCCTTGCTTTACAGGGGAAGAAAATGGGAATGTAATGTATTACCTGATACGGGTCTGGACCGTCTGTTGCCTCTGTGGTGCTTCACTCTCCAGCGTCTTCCTCGGCGTGGGAAAAAAAAAGGAGAGGGTTGTCATGGGTCCCATGATGAAGGCTGGGGTTGAAAAGGACACTTGAGCTGACTGAGAAAACAGCCCCAACCTTTGCTATCCCCTGCAAAAACCTTAGGGTTATAATCCTTATTTAAGGATGTACGTTCCTTGATCAAAGAGGAAAACACTCCAACATATTTGATTACTTCCTTGAGAAATGATTCCTCAAATAATTTACCCTCGGCCGATGGGCCTGGTTAATTACAGGCAATATTAGAAAGTTGGGGATCAATCTTCATTAGGACGCCTCTGTGCCTCTCACTTGTAAGCGCCACATTGGCATTTTCCAAAAAACATATGGCCCTCTGAATCCATCCTCGCAAAACCTTTGTACCCACAAGTGTATTGGATTGAATTGCTAATGGACCCACTATATCTAATAGTTTATCCTGACATGCCCCTAGAGACTTATCTTAACCCTTAAGAGGGTTTTTGAATGAACTGTGAAATTGTATCGTCCAAATCTAGAGTAGCTGCCACATCATGAGCAAGGGTGGGTCTAGGGCATTCGGCCCTCATTTTATTCCTGGCCGAATGTTTGAGGTTTTCTAATCCAGAGTTCTAAGTACTTAGCCACGTGAGAAATAGGGAACCACTCAGAGGATCTGGGATGCTTGATATTATCTGGACTGAAAATAGATTTCCCTTTACCTTTTATTGTCCTTGAACAACTCAATATCACCTTTTAGAATCTTCCTCAGAAATTACTTTAGAAAGCACCTCTGAACTATACTGGGTGCTAGAGAAAGTATCAAATTAATCTGGTTTCCTTCTCCTGATTATTTTCTGAACCCGACTAATATCCCTGCGAGCAAAGGTTCCAAATTGTGGCTTTTCAGCATACTTTCCAGTCAAACATTCCTCCTCTCTCTCTCCTTAGGGTCAACCCCTTTACGTTTTATCAAATGAGGGGAATGATCGGAAACAAGTGTCCTTTTCTGGGTGGCTTTACCAGTCTTCTTCCAGCCTTTATTGAATTCCCCATCTAAGTCCTCAGCAGACCAAAAAATATCAGACGCCCTCTCACTCCTAATCTCCTGAGTGTGTGACATGGCGAGAGAAATAGATTTAGTAGTATTCTCTTGTATAACTGCCATGGCAGATTTCATAGCCTTGGAAACAGTCCTGCTGACAGTCTCATCCATCATGGCATGCAATTGTTCCTCACCAAAAGTTTCTCCTCTTCTCTCTCTCTCTCTCCCTCTCTCTCTCTCTCTCTCTCTCTCTCAATATTGGGACCCACTGAGGCCATAATGTGAAGTATAAAAGCAAACCAAACAGGGGAAAATCCACCAACACTGACGAAACGAGTACACTGCTCAGTAGTAATGTCACAGCCGAGTCAGTCAGGTGTATACTGAGGGAAATGAAAAATCGCACGTGTGTGACATCACTGCACAAAAGGCACTCAAAAGCGCAGCCAATGGATATAACGAACGACCATAGGAGACATCTGAAAGTATGCGTAAAAGGGAATACAACCGCCAGGTACCACATATAGCAGGGGGCGGTGGAAAGGGTAGAAGATGTGAAGGGAGAAAAACACTAACAGAAAAATATATGCATATATCCTTCAAACTGAAGCTATAAACCCTTTGCGTGTGTTGAAAAACATCATGGGGTGGATTTACCAAAACTGGAGCAGACAGAATCTGGTGCAGTTGCACATGGATACCAATCAGGAAAGTTATGCAGTCGCACAAAAACCAAGATCTAAAATGCAACCCACAGGTGAGAGCACACCAAAATAAAACAGTACAGTAAATAAATTGATTGACAAGGAATGAAAAGGCCCAACCCCATACCAAGGTATTTCACTGCCATGTTTAGGCTTAAGGGAGCATGGTGGGATTTAATAAATACGGATGTATTTTTCGCTGTTTTTTTTTAGCTACAAGAACCACAGGACACCACATATTCCAGGACTGTTTATTAAATCTGAACTGGTCTGCATTTGTAGATATTTCTGTTTACTAAACATTGTATAAAAAGTATTAACAGGTGATTAAAAACATGACTGAATTGTAGAAAGAAGTATTTTAGGGAAGTCGTTAGTGTTAAAAACCAGGCACAGCTGAAGAGCTAAAAAATTCAGGGACACATTTGGGACATCGCAGGCTCCACACCATGACCTGCATTTTATGAATGGCTTGTAAAATCAGGCACATTGTGGAGAAAGCACTGCTGTGTCCATTGATGTCCCCTATCTGTTATGAATGGACCCCAAAGTCACCAGTTCACTTACCAACAGCTAACAAAATTGGATTACACTTTAAATGTATACAGTATAGTAGAAGCAGATGCTTAACCTCTAAGGCTGGAATCGCACCTTTGTGCTGCGTCAATTTTGAATGGCATCCCAACAGACCTGCCTTTTAGCACACCACAAATAAATATGCTGTCCTGATGCAATGCATGGTAACAAATCACAAGGGTCTGAATCCAGCTTTACTCTAAAGGGACCTGTGAGGAAGGAAACAAGGAAGATGCCTTTGCTACCTTGTCTTTGATGATGGCTCCAAGGTTCTAATCCCCATCATTCCTTCACCAGCTGGGGTATCACTAACCTACAACAAGCATATTGTACTTGCTCCAGGTTTGTTCCTCAATACACAGTGAAAAAAGGATAAGGATGATAGTCCTAGGGCTTGCACTTTAAAAAATTAATCCGCATTGGCAGCTGCTATGTTTGTCCTATCAGGTTCTTCTATTTTGATACATTCTTTTAAAACCGGTATGAGTTGTGTTATATTTGTCACAACAGTTATTTTGTGCCTCTGATAATTTGGCTGTATTGCTCATTTGTGCGGGAAGTGTATGGTATGAAAAAGCTTTAAACATAACAATTTCTATATACTCAAAACTGTCATTTTTTCCATTTCACAGACATATGTACGAGCAGAAAGAAAACTTCTAGGAGCCAGCGCACCCTTCATGTTTTACAGTACCATTTATTGACTGCCGACATGAAGATGTATTTGGAGCGTTACATGAATATGTAATAAACATGTTTCCATTTGTGACATCTCTGTGGTATATTGTTTTATATAAGCTGGATATTAATAAAACCAGCACCAAGAGAAATATGGAGGCTACCACTGCTGTCCTGAAAATTTCAGTTCTATGGCTTTAAAGGTGCCCATACACTGCTCGATTCTCGTACGAGAATCGCGGGGAAATCCCGCTATCGTACGAGAATCGAGCAGTGTGAACGAAGACGTGCAACCGTTTCTACTGTACGGTCGCACGTCTTTTGTCTAAGGCGCATGCTAGAAAACCACCCGAGAATCGTACGATTTTCGGCTGGTTTGAACGGGGGCGGCCTTGCGATGATCGAGAGTACGATCTGCGTGTCCAAGATGGGCAGATCGTATGTTTTTTTTAATCACTTTACAACCATCGCAAGACTAAGGTCTTGCGATGGTTGTACAGTGTATGGCCACCTTAATAGTCAATGATTTACAGCAAGGTAAACCAGAACACCTGCTCTACACACTTGCTCTGGACCAGTGAATACTTTGGTACTAGCTATAGCTGTACAGATTTTGTAATAGTCAGCATCGATCCTCTGCCACCTACAGGGTCGCTACTCCGCATTGCAGTTCAGGTCATGCTCCAGTGCACAACTGCCCTAATTAGGAGGGCTTAAATAGACTCCTAGAAAAGGTTCTTTTCAATGTCTGTTTGTCTTAATATGGACTTTGCTCCTCCTGGTCATTGTATTCCTTCTGCATTTGGCCCATCTGTTGCCCACTTGTCACCGCTGGTGACACAGAGGGTCTACTAAACTCCATGACAAGTTTAATGTAGTTTATGCTCACTTTTTTTTTAATGAGTTTAAGAAAGTCAGGTCTTCTGAATGAGACATATGTAAACCATAACAATATAAAAATAAATGAAGTGACAATTTCTGGGTATATATCCCCTAACAGTGCAAAATACAATAACCCATAGCAGTCTACAAGAATGAATGCTGCTAAAGGCAGAGTTCAAGGATTCTAGTTCTGGGACATGGTTGTTCTGGTATTGTTCCTTACTGCCTTCATGTTTTAACTGAATAAGCCCATTGTGAATTACCAGTAATTTATGGATCTTAATGTAATTTACAAAACAAGTTACTAAGTCAACTAAGAAAAGATTTAGTAAATGCAATTCCTATGCCCCACAAAAAATACATTCCATTCCATATATTTTAAAGGATAACTCTTCAAGTACACAAAAAAATAAAATAATTGCTTTGTCCACCCCAGCAATGGAACACTTTGGACTGCATGGCCTGCCCTCTATGATGATTGCCCCACTCTGTCCATAAACTGTAGACAAGTATTTGCCTCAGGTTGGCTCATAGAAAATAAGACCAGTCTGAGATAGACCCCCCCAATCACTAGTCTGCAGGTTTCAGACACTACATGCTGGCTTTGAAATGCAAAGGTGTTGTTGCTTGTGTCAGTTTTCAAGGCAGTCTAAGATTCTGATTTATAGTTTTTGTTGAACTGAAGAGTTATCCTTTAAGCAAGTAGCTTATATCAGCAGTGTTTAGATAGTAATAATTTATGGCTGGCCTTAGATCTAAAAATTGGCTGTCGGATGATTTGACTACCCAACAATATTTTTTTCTGAACAATTGGTGCATAAGAGTCAGGGCCACCCCTATACTGAGACAGCTAAGAGCTCCTAGCAACCTGTGAAACTCTGTCTGGCTTCCCGCCCTACTCACTGAAGTAATCGGTTGATGTCATCTGGTTGGCATCCCGCCAAGCTCCTGACAACTAATGACCTCAGTGAGCTGCGCAGGACCACTCAGAGAGTCGCTGGCAGTATGGCTCTAATACAGCCGCCCATTGGCTTCCCACTGTAAAGCCCCCCCCCCCCCCCC